TAAAAACAACAATACCAAAAAGTAGACTAAAAATAGGTAATGTCGCTTACAAAATACTTTCAACCAAAAATATTATTATTTTGTTGATCGCTGGAGAAGTAAATAAATATCGGTTAATGATTGTTCAAAATGAGTTATTGAGTACCTATCTAATGTCCGCTTCTAGGCGGATTAATTCATTACCTATCTATGTCAGAATAACGAATTGGGTAATAACAATATGTGCTAGAAAGACTTCATGTTCTTTGTATATTTAAGTGTGGGAGAGCCATGCTTCGGCAGGAATGGACCGGTTTGACCGGAGTGATACCACGGCCTCACAGAAAACCGACGTGAAACAACGCTTGCGTTGTGTTTCGTCGTGTGACTGAGGTTACCGGAGGCGCAATTACCCTCCCCTTCCCCAATCTTCCCAATAACTGAATCCCCAACGATCCTCAAACTCCTAATCCCCAAAATGCCGGTAAGGCACTTGTAACGCCTCTGGTGTTCCAGGTGTCCATGGGCGACGCCGATTGCTTATCATCAGGTGATCCGTCTGCTCGTTTACCGGCTAAGGCCATAAAAAAAATATATATTTGTAAAACGAGTTTTTCTGTACGTTTTCTTTATGACGTTCGAGTAGCACACTACGCAAAAACTCCCTAACTGCAAAAATAACTTTTACACAGACAGCAAGGCTGCATTTTCTTACAAAATACGTGAGCTACCTGTTATTTTATTTTTTTTTATTATGCTCTCACCTCTTCACGGCTCGCCCATAAAAATATATCATGCGCCGACGTTTGGCATAGTATGGTTTTCATCGCCTTCCCTGAACTGATTTAGTTACCGGGATTTATGCGGCATGACTAATGGCTCCTGTTTATGATCAATTAGTGTTTACATCCATTTTTTTACGCGAAAGAAATATTATCTTCGTCTTACACGTGTTTTCTAAAGCATGACGTGTTGTTGAGAAAATATTTCAATGCGTTTTTCCTACATTATTACATTTTTATTACGTTGTTATGAAGTTATGACGCTAGATTCCGTTTTTTTTTTGTTTTTATGCTAATGGAAAGAGGACTATCGTGTTGAATATTTTCTCCAGAGACGATTTGCAGACGATTTGCAGGTGCATCTAGTGAACATAAAACGATAGCCCTCATTAATAACCTCATTAAACTCAATTTGATATGCAATCTGTAAACAAACATCGTCACTACACGATTCATGTAATAATTGTCATATCCATCCATGTGTCATCATCAACCATAACGTTTGTTACTGTCAAGTGTCCACTGTCATCTGTCATCGGGATGCATCTTGATACTGGGGCTTTCTATCCGTTCGGAAATATTTAATCATAGTCACTACATTATCGGATATGGCACTTGGTTGGTTTTCTTTCCTTTCTTGTTTCTTTTTATTTTTTTGCTTTTCTCCTTTCATTGCTAATTGTGATGTGTACGTATTTCGATTTTATTTTTTTTTGTTAATGGTTTTGGGGTTTTTTACGTTTTTACACATTTTATGTTTACTGTTTTGTTTGTTTGGGCTGGCGGGTGGTGCAGAGATGCACGTTTCAGCTGTTCGTTGTTTTAATTTGTTCTTCTTTTTAATACATATATTATTTATATAGATACACACATATATATATATATATATATACCTATTTATTTTATTTATAATTTTATTTATGTCAGATTATGATGTGTTTGAATCCGCCAATGAAGATGACTCCTCTTCAAACGACAGCTTTTGCTCAATAATTGAAACGTTGGGTGACTTCGTGCAGAAGCAGTTCAATGATAGAAGCAATCAACTGTTGAACGTATGCCACATCAACGCTCAAAGTATACCTAGTCACTACAATGATCTATACGAATCGTTTAACAACAGTAACGTTCACGCCGTCTTGATTTCCGAAACTTGGCTCAAGCCTCATTTGCCGTCCACCACTTATCCTTTGGCCGGCTATATCCTTATAAGGAATGACCGGAGTTGTGGGAGGGGTGGTGGTGTGGCTATATACCTCCGCTGTGATTTTCCTTACAAAATTCTTCTAACTTCTTCTTGTAACAGCCCTGCGGAGTATATATTTCTTGAGGTCTGTGTCCGAGGGGTCAAGGTAATTTTGGGTGTAGTCTATTGTCCCCCTACACTTGATTACTTCACTGAATTCCAATCAGTACTAGAATCTTTGGGTTCAGGGTACGCACATCACATAATCATGGGTGACTTTAACACCAACCTCCTTACCCCCATCTCCCATCGTTCTCGTAAACTCCTGGAATTGGTCGAGTCGGCTTGCATGCATTTGTTGCCGCTTAATCCCACTCATCACAATACAGGTGCCGATGACACCTGGCTCGACCTGATCCTTACCTCCAATCCTTCCCTTGTTTCCTGCCATGGTCAACATGACGCTCCAGGCTTTTCTCACCACGACCTCATATACCTTTCTTATACCCTGAAACCTCCTAAAGTTAAGCCCAGGTTTTTGTACAGACGTTGTTTTAAGCGAATGGATGGAGAAAGGCTTCGGGAAGAGGCTTCAAATATTGATTGGGAGCCGCTGATGAGTGCCACCACGGTTGATGACAAGGTTGACATCTTTAATAAAATCATCACCAAGCTGTATGATCGGCACGCTCCAGTCCGAAAAGTGAAGATTAAGCGACCACCCGCGCCATGGATGACCAGAGGCATTCAGATGGCGATGCGTCGCAGGGACCGAGCCTTCAGGAAACATAAAAGGGACCGCACTGAGGAAAACTGGTTAGCTTTTAAATTTGCAAGGAATCGATGCAACCAGATGGTACGCAACGCTAAACGCCGACATATTCTTGATAACATCTCTCTATCTTCTCCTGCCAATATCTGGAAATTTCTAAAATCTCTAGGTATTGGTAGAACGCAATATTCAGACCTCCCGACCTCTATTAGTCTGGATGATCTAAACAATCATTTCTCCACCTCTTCGCCCTTGGATTGTCTAACTAAAGAGAGTACTGCATCATCAATTGCTGGTCTGATGCGTCCTGCTATAAATCCTTTCCGTTTCGACCCTGTAGACTCGGAGGAAACCAGAAAGATTATCCTGTCCATCAAGTCCAAGGCTGTTGGTTGTGATAATATTTCCCGATACATGATCATAACAGTTTTGGATCACCTCATCCCAGCCTTAACTCACATCATCAACTTTTCACTCTACTCTAGTTCTTTTCCTTCCTTGTGGCGCAGAGCATTTGTCCGGCCACTGCCTAAAATCTCGAATCCTACTCTTCCCACTCACTTCCGTCCTATTTCAATCCTCCCTTTCTTATCTAAAGTGCTTGAGGCTTGTGTACACAGGCAACTCTCACATTTTGTATTCCGCAACTCCTTACTTAGTCCCTTCCAATCTGGCTTCAGGCCAGGGCACAGTACCACAACGGCCCTCCTTAAAGTGACTGGCGATGTGAGGGCAGGTCTGGAAGACAGTAAAGTCACCGTACTGGTATTGGTCGACTTCTCAAATGCCTTTAACATGGTCAGTCACGACATCCTTCTAGCCATCCTATCCCATCTTATGGTTTCCGATGATACTCTACATTGGTTCTCATCTTATCTTCGGGGGCGGCGACAGATGGTCCAAGTTGGTGATTCGTCATCAGAATGGTGCCATTTGGAAACTGGCGTCCCTCAAGGCGGTATACTATCACCTCTCTTATTTTCTATCTTCATCAATCTCATTACTACTGAACTTCAATGTGCGTATCATCTGTACGCTGATGACTTGCAGTTGTACTGTCAGGCTAGTAGGGAGAACTTACCGGAAGCTATCAAAAGGCTAAACATTGACCTGGCTTCTATTAAAGACTGGGGTGATAGGTTTGGGGTAGCTGTAAACCCGAGCAAGTGCCAGGCCATAGTAATTGCGAGCTCGCGCATCCTCAGTAGAATAGATGCTAGCACCCTTCCCCCTGTTCTGTTTGACGGTGCGGTCATCCCATGCACCAGCGACGTCAAGAATCTTGGCCTTCACATTGATAATACCTTGAGCTGGCGCCCGCAGGTTACCAGTGTCTGTAAGAGGGTTACTGGGTCGTTGCGGGCTCTGTATCGCCTCAAAAACTTTCTTCCATCCTTCGTGAAGGCAACGCTTGTCCAGTCGTTAATTTTCCCTATTATTGATTATGGTGATGTCTGTTATTACGACCTGAATGCAGATCTCCTCAACAAACTAGACAGACTTCTGAATAACTGCATTCGATTCGTGTTCAATCTTCGTAAATATGATCATGTTTCTGCACAGCGCTTGCAATTAAAGTGGTTACCCATACGCCAACGTAGGGAGCAAAGGGCTTTAACTACTTTATTCTCTCTTCTTGAATCCCCTTTTTCTCCTAACTATCTATCCACCTATTTTCAATACACCAGTGCAAACCACAGTAAATATCTTCGTTCTTCCAACAATCGCCATCTACAGTGTGTCAGTCATCGCACTGATTTCCTTCATTCTTCTTTCTTCATACAATCTGTTATTCTGTGGAATGCACTACCCACGGATATCAGGACGGCGTCCAGTCGCTTAGCTTTTAAGATTAAAGTTCGGGAGCATCTTCTTCAACAATTGGTAGATTCATCTCAAACCTAAACCTCTTTTAATTTAATATTTTGTATTATATTTTATAATGTACATATATATTTCTATATATATATTCATTATTTTTTATTTATATATTTACTTTAATATTGTATACATAATTATTGTTATATGTAAGTATGTATAAGTTTTCAAATATACCTATATGTTTAGTGTCTATTGAATATTCTGATTGTGAGATTTGTTATTTATTACACTGGTACATTGCCTATTTATAAAGGTTTAAATCACCTGCTACTTTCATCTCTGCACTGCTTAAAGGTTGACTGGGAGACAATGCCCAAGGCATTAAGTCCACCTGTACACTCTTGTTGTATAAAGTTGAAATAAATAAAAATAAATAATAAAAAACAAAGTAAGTACTTACGATTTTGGTGTTTAGGTGCATAAGCTCGCGCTCGGTGACCCGGCGCCGCGCGGTCTCCATTTGCTGCTGCCGGTACTGGTTGTACTTATACAGCAAATACATTCCGGGCAGGGCCAACACCACGAATGGTCGCATCAAGTTTGATGATGTCGGCGCGCGCTGCGGCATTTTCTTTTTAACATTATTTTATTTTTAACACAAAGCTATGCACTTCCGTCGTCGACTGTACGCTGCGAAGCGATAAGGCAAGAAAACTTTTGTTGTAATTGAAACTTTATGACTTTAGTAATAAAGATCATTTTGATTGTTGATTTAACAATTAAAGTCACGCCACATTTTAGACTTAAAGTTAAATAAAATATGGAAGATTTAATTTTATTAGTAACACTAAAACTATTGCTTAAAAGCACTTTATATAGCGTCTCTACGGGGTTTCTATGTTTTTACGAATTATTGCTTTTAGACCTAAGTATTTATTTACACCACGATGCTTTTACGCGTTCCCGACATGGTGACAACTCTGCAACAAAAGAAATAATGTTTTAGTCAAATGCTATAGTAACATTCAGTCCATACACATCGATATAAGTCGATGAAATAAAGGATTATTCACAAAAAGAAAAAAAATATTTATGTACCTATGTTAGAAAAATTACACAATCATGTTTAAGTGGATGCTACATTCAGTAACATTAAAATAAATACAAGCTCTGGAAACATTGTCACGATATATTTCAAGGCACGCAAAAAGGCCGACCAAACTTATGTGCATACATTAGCTCGGCCTTCCGCATGCCTGCATACTGTCTCACTAATTAAAACTACCACACGAATACATCTCCGTGACTATAAGACTTGAAACAACATGTTTATAAGCTAGGAATGTACATTTTAAAGCAAATGAAAGAAAAATATATTTTATACCTACTTTTTGCTTAACTATTGGCGCCACTGTCGTTTAAAGTCATGATGGTTATGAATAAAAATTGTACGTCATAGTCTAAAATAACAAATCACACCTGTATCGATTTCATTTGGGAAAAATAGAACTAAGATATGATTTCTCAAAAAAAATAAAAATACAATTAAGTTTTAAAAAGTAACAGGCGAACATAATTCAGTGGTAGCAGCCGTTGCTGGTAGCGAAAGCGTTGCTGTCCCGAAACAGCTAATAAGCGTGGGACGGCAATGAGCCGATTGATAGCTTCCTCTAGGGAGCAATGTGGCCAATGTAATAGCTTATTTTCCCCGTATCGAACGACTATAAATGTTCGTAATACGGTATTTAATAGCATATCGATTTAATCGGAGAAAAATGGTCGGGAAATGGACCGTTGATGGTAGAACATAGATGGGATGGTATTTATTTTTCTTTATGAGGGTGTTTATAGGTTTTCTTGGTATTTTATGTACAAGTGCTAGAGCTACTCTAGCTGTAACTATTTTCTGTAGTTTACGAATGTTTTGTTTGCGTAAAATTTACTTATTAAATGTGCCTATAGAAAGTTTGGGCTTTGTATTGAGCGCTATTATTCATCAGATTTTGGGGATTGCAATTTCTTTGCTTTTTACGTAGGAATGTCTAAAAGATGAAGTCAAATAAACATACTTCTCACAATACCCAGTCAACTGTACGTATTATAATCACACAGGTGGATAGGGCGTTAGAACTGTTTAATTTGTGCCTAATAAGGCACGATGAATCTTCTAATACTCCGCTAATCTCGTTAAAGAATTTATAGAACTTAATCTTCACACGACTATGGTGGTATCGTGTCACAAAGTCGTATCCAACTAGATTCAACAGGGTGTCAAAATGGTAATAAAATACGGAAGTAAAGAAAATTGAGCTTTAATGACATGTTGTAGGTTGTTATTTAATACAATAACTTACTTTAAATATAGGTTAGCGAGCAAGAACTCAGTCAAACGTAATTTCGACCTATTATTTTGGGTTTTACGCACAAAAATGGGTTAATGATTGATAATCAAAGGTTTTTCGTATTATTAACATTTTCCCTACTTAAAAAATACAATTAAAAAAAGTTCAAGTTTTTTTGGTAGTTATTAAACTTTTTACAAAAGATCTTTATATAGGTATTTTATTTTTACGTAACGTTATACTCAGCAATCAATCCGATCGACGAAGTAAAAAAAAAAGCTTGAGCCATTCAATCCTCGCAAAGAAAAAAAAACTTTATCCCGCATAACTGTACAGTGCAGTGTCCATAAAGCAAAGAGAATAAAAAATTGCAAAAAATAGTTATTCAACTCAAACTATTCAAATATTTTTGTGCCTGTCTGTACTCTGAGCGAATGTTTGTATACTTGTACAGTATTCGCGCATGAGGGCGTACAAATATGTGAAAATGTTGCAAAATATTTCAATTAAACAATTTTGATATGAAGGAACAATTTTAATTTTCCTGCCCATATAACTGTCTGGCCGCGATTTAAACTCTGTCGGGTATATTCGTTAAAAAAATTGATGATGTTTATTATATTATTTTTTGATATGATCACTCAAATAGCGAAACACAATGCAAGCGTTTTATAACGCCGTTTTTCTGTGACCACTTTGGTCAAGGCCCATTCAACATTTCGAACACAACTTAATTATATTTGTATTGTAACTTTCGTGAGACATTAGTATGTCTCACGAAAGGTAGTCCTTTAAATAACTTATTAGTTATGTTTTCGGCTTACTCACTGACTGCGCGACTGCGGAATGACGCGCATGAATATGAGCCTCCAGGTCTAGGTCCTCCAATTCCTAGGTCTAGTAGCAGCGCGACAGTCGCCGTGTCGCGGGTCGCGAAATGCTGTTCATGCATATGAGCCTCTGGCTGGCTTGAAACTAGTCGAGTTTCTCGTTAAATTATTACGCGAGTAAGCCGAAAACATAATAATTAACTTAATTATATTTTCTTTTTTAAAAAAAAGCTTTGCCCCACACTAGTATTTTCTCCTGTGTCGTGGGTGCGTTCACAAACATACAAGTTCACATACACATGACATCCAGACTCGGAACAACAATCTGTGGATCATCACACAACTAGTAGCTCCGTGAGGGAATCGACCCCGCGTCACGTTCATACGCGCGAATCAACCGTGCAGTCAGCAACAAATTAAAAACAACTTCTGTGTAGGAATTTTATTTACCTATATATCTACAGTTAGCTTATTTGAACGTATTTCTATTCAAAAAATACAAGTCCATAAGTAACAGTCACACAAAAGAACAGAAGCAATTCTTCCAGCGACGTGTTTCATGTAATATTTTCGGTTGTGACCCTGTAACGTCGCCTCTGGGATTAGTCATAAACGTTTACTACTTGTTCTCTTTATGTAATGCTACTTTCTGTCTAGTTCTAGTCAGTAATATGTATATTGAGCTAGAACCTAGAACGGTTAGGTCACATTGTGGAACAAATTGTGGAGGTGATCGCACCGATAGACATAAAATGTTAATAAAGAGACATATGTTAATGGTACCAACATCTCGTAATATATATACATAATACGTGTGTCACATAATATACATTCAAACGGCACATGTATAATGGCAATAAATATCTACAACAAGATACCTGAATCATTAAAAGCTCAAAAGAGATCAGTGACAAAAAAATCAATAGTAAAATAAACAATATATTGGTTGAAAAGGTTTATTAGAGGTACACACTAAACGAATACATGAATGATAAATACATAATATGTACACAGGACTGATAATAACTAACTAATTAGCAATATTCCATAGTATTACTAATATCACGGGTTTACGCATTAAGTTTGCCTTATGTGCCATAATCAAATGGCGTACTTAAAATACTAAATAAATAAAGATATATGCAAATTTTATTTGTTCATCCACCATAAGACATTTTAAATGTGAGAGGGCCATGCTTCGGTAGAATGGGCTGGCTCGACCGAAATGATTACACGACCTCATAGAAAACCGACGTGAAACAACGCTTGCGTTGTGTTTCGTAGTGTGAGCGAGGTTAGCGGAGGTACAATTTTTTTTTTAATTTGCAAAGGAGCACGAAATGTATTGTAAGTTATTTTATATTGAAACTAGCGACCCGCCCCGGCTTCGCACGGGTGCAATATGCATGTATTATACATACAAACCTTCCTTAAGAATCACTCTATCTATTAAAAAAAAACCGCATCAAAATCCGTTGCGTAGTTTTAAAGATCTAAGCATACATACGGACATACAGCGAAAGCGACTTTGTTTTATACTATGTATTGATTGATGTAGCTAGTTAATATTACTTAAATAAGGCAAACCTACTGATGATTACTATCAGCAAAAATCTGACAGTGGTTACGTATTGAAATATCTGCGGCATTTCATTCCGAGGTCGGGGGCATGTCGGACAAAATTCGGACAACTTCGGAACTCCTCATTGCGAAGTTCGGATACGCACGGATTCACCGTCCCTTTGTTCTGGCTGAATAGTGAATATCTTGGGTGCTCTTTGATTGTGTTGGACTTGTACCAAAATATACACATAGCACTTATGTAAAAGGTTAACTTTCTGTGAAAATATGAGAGATTATGACCGCCTCGTGTCTGCAGTTTCGATTCTCAAATCTACAAGTTCAATGATATTTCAGTTCTTTGAAAATTCTCTGAACACATCACAGGATTTGGAATTGTGCCTGGTACACGACAATCTAGACCATCCCCTATTATGTGGGACTTATTTGGAAGAAAATTATATATCCCTCTAAAAGCCCTTCCACACCAAAACATTTCACTTCGACGCAATCGCAAAAATAGAAATGGCGATACCCTCAACGTAGTACACTACGTTCGGAACATTGATCAGTTACGTCACAACACAATTGTAAGTATCGAGCGCTCTTAAGATTCATAGTATCGGTATAAGTCGGTACCAGTGCACCGAGCACCGTATCGTATCTAAAGGATAGTCGACAACATCGAAGGCACGAATCACTTTGATCGACAGCCTTTGTGTTCAATGGATATTGGTGTTTTTGTTACACAGATTAAATGCGGCTTTAGATCGGATTTTGTGTGAACGATGTTTGTTTTGCCTATTATTATGTTGCAGATAATATGTTTTGTTGTCTTTTTCTGTTAAATAAATAATAGAGAAAAAGTTGGATTGTGATATATTCTAAACAAGCGACCCGTCCCGGCTTCGCAGGGTGCAATATGCAGGTATTATACATATAAACCTTCTTTAAGAATCATACAACCTATTAAATAAACCCGCATCAAAATCCGGTGCGTATCTACTTTTAAAGATTTAGGCATACAAACAGACGGCGGGTAACGACCTTGTTTTATACTATGTAGTGATACTTGATTACAAAATTGGGACTGAACTGCCTAGTATCATATCACTAATCTTATAACCTTTAACTTTTACCCACATAGTGCACAATTTTAACTATTTTGAATAGCCCAAGAGTCCCTTCAAACGATTGATTCCATGAGCCAATTCTAATAACACTAAAGAGTACTCATTAATACTCCAT